TCTATGTGGAGTATAGTTTCGAATCCAGTTTCTGTGTGGAGTCATATGAGAAGTGGCGCCTGTGTCTGTATTCCATTCCATAGTATCAGCAAATGATGAAGCAGAAAGTACATTAGAAAGAGAACTTGCAGTAGCTGAACCAGCACTTTCAGTCACCCCATCATCATCTACCTCTGTCACTTTAGCTTTATTGGCTTGAATGCCTTTCCTTTTGTTGTGGGGGTTAATGGGACAGTCCTCTTGCCAGTGGACCGCCTTTTTACCACACCACTTACAGTAGTCCTTAGGTTCCCCAGTCCTAACAGGAGCTCTGTAGTTATTCTTCTTCTTGTTAGAAGAGGATGCAGCCTGTGCAGCTCGATTCACAGACTGCTGCTCAGCGTGCTCTTGATTCTGCTGTTCTGCTAGGAATGCTGCAAGGATTTTCTCTTTATCGAGGTTGTCCTGCATAAGCAAGTTTGAGGATAGATGCCTATATTCCTCTGGTAGAGCACGGATGAGAGCCATCGATTGTAATTCGGAGTCCAAGGAATCGAGTGTGAATCCGAGGGCAGGAAGTCCATTTGACTGGACAGCAATAGGAGCAACAGGAGGGCGCAGATTCTGAATATCAGCCATTGCAGCTTCAACTCTAGCAGCCATATCCATTAGAGATTCATCAGCAGACTTTGTGATGGTGAAGAGCGCATTATAGGCATTAAACCTAGCACCAGGCTTCTTGGACACATGTTGCTTCTCCAGGATAGACCACATACGAATAGGATCCTCTTGATGAGCCTTTATTGGAACTTGTTGAGCAGGACTGACAGCAAGATAAATCAAGCCAGCAGCCTTTTCAGCTTTAAGTTCCCATTTCTCCAGTTTCTCTGTATCAGAGGCTGGGGGTTGTTTCTCCTTTCCACTGACTAGTCTCCATAACCCATGAGACATCAGAGATGCTTTCATGTTCCCCTGCCAGTCATTGTAGTTGTCCTTGGTGAGGACTTTAAATGATGGAGTGGTTGAGATGGTTGTAGAAGACATTGTTAACAGTAGTCAAGATAGACAAAAGGTAGTTGGAAAGACCACAACAGTAGGAGTACTGATGGGAGCGCACAAGTAAAGAACAAGCAAGGACAACAACAGATCAATGCACAGTTTAGAGCACGGGGCCCATAACCTGTTGAAGGAGACTGCACTTGTTGAAGTTGAAACACACTGGAGCGCCCTTCAGCTAACCCAAACAGTATGCCACCCAGCTCAGTGCAGAGAATGTCAATGCCTTAATACAAGCTCAGTAGGTTGTGCTACAGAGTCTTGTAGTTGCTCAGTACTCCAATAAACACAGTAACAATGACCAGAGTCAATATAGTATGAGTATTGATTTGTATCTTTCAACTATAGTAGGAATACAGGTTTGTTTGGTCTTGTATGTACTAGAAACGCATGAGGCGTGATAATAGGTGTCCACAATTGTGCGCACCTATGAAAACTAACTAACTACAGTAACACTAAAGAAATAGCTAAGTTATGAGTTGTAAAACTAAGTAATGATGTCTGTAAGTACTTTATACACTAAGTAAGTCACTACAGTGATAACTAGGAGTGATGAAGCGCTGTGTAATGTATGTAGAAAGTGTTCTATCACTACAGTATGCTCAACAGCTTATTCAGCTAGGACTCAGAATTTCCTCAGATTTATCCATCATGCTTGTCTAATTCTTCATCACCCTCAGTCTCCTTGGCTCTCCACTACTTCCATATCTAACAAGCTGCTCTATGTTGATTCAGGATATATCCAGCCCTATCTGTCTATCCTTCTCTCTCAGCCTTCTCCTTGGCTTCCTGCTGCTATCCTTCAACTCCTCTGTCAAGTGGATTATCCATAATCCAGCTCCTGATGTATTCAACCATTGGCTTCTCAGCTGATTTCAGGATTAGTTCCTGATCTTGTTCACCTTCTTCAGGAGGCTTTTCAAGAGCTTTTTCTGCTCAACTTGGATCTCCTTCACATTTTAACACCAATCCTTCACTTCAGCTCATTGTCTATATAGCTACAGTGAAGCTCAAACTTCTGCTATAGATTTTCTCTTGCCAATTGTGGCCTGGTCATCTTTCTCACCAGTGGTGGTCTGGACCCTTGAACTTTCACTTGTCAGTGATTGTTTAGTCCTCTGCATTTTCTTCAGATATTGGATCCAATCCATTTCCTGAAGCAGTTTGTAATCAAAAGGAAGAGCTACTGCCCATTTGTCTCAGGATATTGGGCACCAAATCTGAGCTATTTATTTAGCTTCCAATGTTCACTTCAGTGAATCTCTCACTTCAGTGAATCTTTCACTTCAGTCAATCACCTCACTTCAAGTTTGCCTCTTTAAAAGGCTTTGGAGTTTTGGACCCAGAATCCTCTCCTCATCTACAAACTATCCTTTCCTTAGCCACACAAGTTTGACACTTGGGCTTATCCATTTCCTTCAGGCTTTGTTTCTGTACAAGGAGTCAACTACACATTAAACCTTCAATCTCTATCCCTCAGTTTTATACTGCACAGGGATCTCATTTCTTCATCTTATGATGATCAGCAATTGGTTTATATCCTTCAGGCTTCAATATGCTCCTGGACAAGGATCCCAACCAATCCTTTAAACCATTAATATTCTGCCATCTCCTGGTTTACATCCTTTAGGACCTGCCCTAAACAAGGATTCCAACCTAGCACTTTTGTCCATTCTGTTCCAGTTTCTCAGCTATCATCCAATATTTGTATAGCTTCAGTCAACTTGGAACAAGGACTGCAACCAATCATCACTATCCTTTCAATCCCTTATGGTCAGATGCTCCACATAGTGGTCTCACAGAAATTTAATCTGCTAAGTGTCATTTTCATGATTTCTTTATTTTTTAAATCACTTACTGCTATGAAAATTCAGACTATTTTCTCACTCTCAGCTATTGTTCAAGACATTCCATTCCTGTAAATCCTTCAAGCCTTGCTTGTACAAGGATCCTCTTTCTGGTCCCTATCTTCCTGGTCCCTATCCTTCAGGCCCTGCCTGTACAAGGATTTCACTCAGTCACACTTTGGCTTCACTTTCAAATCCTCCATCTAATCTTGGGTTCAGATCCCTTGGGTTCTGCCTATACAAGGATCTTCACCTTGGAATTATATTCTCCAGGTCCCACCTGTACAAGAATCTTCAGCTCTAGGCCTTAGGTTCACATCCTTTAGGCTTTCTTTGCCTATACAAGGATCTTCACCTTTAGTTTCAAATCTCCTTTTCACTGCTGGTTCCCATCCTCCTGGCTTCAATTTATAGCTATCAGGTCCCACATGTGCAGGTCACATCCTTTAGGTTTTACCTATACAAGGATCTTCACTATCTAGTCTCTATGGTTCATATCATCAAAATTGAGCTCACCTCTCCAAATATTGTTACCATTTGGCTTACAGGTGTACAGCTCTCAAATCTACATCTTTAGCTCCATCTATACAGGGAGTTCTATCCAGTTTTGCCTTAGGATTTATTCCCCAGGTCCCACCTATGCAAGAATCTATATCTGGCTACATCCTTTAGGTCCCACCTATACAAGGATTTTCACTGGAGTTTTCTATGCTCTGCACCATCTCTCAGATTCATATCCTTAGGCCCTGCCTATACAGGAATTTTCATCTGACTCACCAAATCTGTCTTCCAAGTTTGGATCACTTTTGAGTTACATCCTATAGATTCAGGTCTTCACAAGGGTTCAGCTCAACAATTATTTGGACTTTATCCACTTTTCATCCTTCAGTGTTTTAACACTGTACAGGGATGTCAGCTTTAGGGTGAATTAGGAATTTTCTGAACAAGTAGTGACACCTCTCTCAAGTTTGAGATTGGTTTAATGCTTACTTTGGAAATATTCCTGAAACACTTAACACTTTATTCCCAGTGGTCTTCTGGATACAGGTCATCCATTTCCCTCTCTAACTCTCTCCAATAATCATCCATTCATCTCATGCCTCATTCACATTTTTCACACCACCAGCCACCCCTCAACAACATCTCATAGGTCTTATAGCCCTGCATGATGCATTCAATTTAATGGGGCTTTGGCCCAGTTTATGGCTAAACACTTCCCTATGAGTGAAAATAGGCATAGGTCGACATGAAGGCGGATTCCAAGGGTAGGGAGCGTTTCTGGAGGCCTCTGCAAACCAACAGATCCCCACCAGCAACTGAATCTTTCATTCAGTACCTTGGAAGTGTACAGGAGGCCTCCTCCTCACTTCTGACAGGTACATAAATATTCAGTTGCTTCCTCTCACTAAAAACTCTACAGATATTCCTCACTTCTGAAAATGTGTACAGGTTTCTCCACAACCTCACTTTTCAGCTGTGTACAGATTTATCTCTCTCTCTCCAGGTTTTACCTCACTTCTGTACAGGGTCTCACCCTCAGATGTGTACAGGTTCCACCTGATTTTTTACAGAAGTGTACAGGCTGTGTTCCTCACCTCTTCAGTTGTGTACAGGTGTTTCCACCTCACTTCTTCAGTTGTGTACAGGCCAGACCTCACTTCTCAACATGTGTACAGGTCACACCTCACTTCTGTCCTCAGATGTGTACAGGTAGCACCTCACATGGGGCCAGTTGGATCAGGTGATGTGTTGATCATGTGTTCTGTTTCAGTCAGGTGCCAGAGTTTCTGAGCAGAGGCCTGTGTGAAAAAGGTCAGAATCATGTGATCCCATCAGCTCTTCCTTTCTCTCTTACCACCACCATCTCCTGCCACTTTGGTGATTTGGGTGAGAACACTGGCTTTCTTCCACAGCTCTGATAGCTTCAACATCATCCTCCAGGTCCTCCTTTCATCTGTACAGGCCTAGCCTCAGATTCAAGGACCTGCCATAGCTCTGACAGCTTCAACATCATTTTTCCTTGTCTTTTGTGTATAGATTAGAGGTCTGGGTTCTCAGTGTGTCTATGATATCTTTTATGGGTGTTTTACATGGTTTTCAACTGATGTTTGGGCAGATCTAGGTTGATCTGGTCATTTTTTGGTCACCCTCCCTCCTCTCCCACATCACATCTTTACTTTCAACCATTTCACCCCACTCTAACCTTGTTATTATATTTTTCACTTAGACTTCTTTTTTCATTTATGTTATTTACCATACCATACCCTTCCTGTAGGGCCCTGCATGATGCATTCAATTTAATGGGGCTTTGGCCCAGTTTATGGCTAAACACCTCCCTATGAGTGAAAATAGGCATAGGCTTACTGGATAAGCGCAACGAGAGAATCATTTCCGGGGAGCTCTTTTTCGACGTAGTTCGTTGTGATTTCGGGAGAGTGGAGCCTGTCAATAGAAGGTCTTCAATTAGAGGCCACAACAACACGCCTGCACGTTGAACAAACCTCTCCTGTACCACATCGGCATTGAGATTGACTGCCGGCAGCTTGATGTACTTGGTAGTACCATCAGTGTTGAAGCTAAAGTGGAACTTCCAGTCGGTCATCCTGATTCGAAGGTTTGGTATGATGAGATATTAAGGAAGAGGTGTTCTTTTCAGCAAGATCTTCATATTTATTAGATGGAGAGAACCAAAACAAAGGCAGCTTTGTGACAACAATAGACATTGGACCATGGCCACTTCAGGTTCTACAGGATCCCATGCACAAAGGAGACCTTAGGCAGACGGAAGAGTGGAACGCGTTTCGTATCGTGAACGTGACGTGACTAGACCTAAACTGTCCCATGGTGAAAACCGAGGTTAACGGCAAGTTTGGCGACTGCGGTGAATGCTGACGAGACACTGAGCACAATGAGCTCTATTCAATCTCGCTACGTGTCGGTAGAAGTGAGAATCACGTAATTGACAAATAATATCAAATGAGCGCGTAGGCACTAATAGTCCGTATACGTAGTGAGAGATTGATTCTTATGGCAGGATCTGATATTACTGCGAAGAGTGGATTATGATGATACAAGCGGAAATATTCATGCCTGAGGCAAGGATATATAGGGCAAGTGGCAAGTAAAAACATAAACAGGTTCTGACAATTTGATAATATAACTATGATTTAGTAGCGCCAGACCTTTCGTTGTCTTTGTGGAGGTTTGTCGCGGTTATTGGCATCCTAAAACTAGAAAATTTGAAGATGTCACGACAGTTGAGAGAATTATGACATACTGTGAGGTTGGCTCTCTTTTTCTCCTGATCGTGAGCATTTCGCAGCAATAACATGCGATTTTCCGCCTGCAAATTCGCAATCATCTGTTCCTTCTGATGTATCTCTCTCCGAAGTCGTTGGATGTGGAAACGAGCCAGCTCTAACCATTGCTCTTGCAATTTGATGACAGTAGGTGGCATGGAAAGTGGCTCCTAGATGTTGGGAATGAGCATCATATATTAATGATCTTATATAAGTACGAGACGAATTATTCACCTCCTCGCTGCGGCCATTATGAAGTTCGATGATCTCCTCCCACCCAGGTGCTTCCCGTGCCTCTCTGGTGGTATATTTATCCATTCAGAGCGACGAGGGCCTCGTTATCGAAGATGGCGGCTGAGAAGATAATAGAATGGGTGGGTTTAGACGACAAAGTTGCTTGTGATGGCTCGGAAGAAGGGGTAACTGATGGTTAGTGGCTCGAGTCATGCGGGCTTTATACCGTCCCTACGACAAGGTTTCCTTTGTGTTGAGTCCCTTCATGATCATCCTTCGAAAATGGGAGAGAAAGACCTGTGAATCAATGTGTTTGATCTTATTTTGCCGTAGCGGCTCATGAGGCGTCACAAAATTTCCCACATTGGATTTTGACAAACGCCGAATACCTCCAGCCCGTTATCTCATGACAAAGACGCTGTGAAGTAGCGCATTACTTCTTCCCGTATCGAACGATACCAGGACGCGAACCAGTGGGAGCAGTTTGCTGAAAAGCACAAAAAGGATCGGTAGGAGAGATGAAACGGGGTATGCAAGTTGACGTGGTCGAATGTAGGCAGAAGGAAATGAAAATTCGGATTGCGAAATGAGACCGAACATGGAAGTCCCAGAAAGCGGAATCAGAACAAGCTTGGAACAAAGAAAATCTGCAGATGGTGTTGTAGGGTCGAGAATCCGGTCGTGAATAACAGGACTGCAAACCCAGACGGAACGAACAGTCCTCGTAAGGGCAACAATCTTACCGCAGACAGAAAAAGCACTAAAAGATCAGCATAGAGAACTGACAATCCATATTCCATCTTCGCCTCATATCCCTCTCAAACCGAAAATAGCCACCAGTTTGGCTGGTTCAACCTAACTGAGAGTGTTTTATTGTCCTACATCTTCTCTGGTAAGTTGATTTTTCCATCTGAATCCTTCGTTTTATTGCTCTCTTACACCTAGGTATGTACAGGGATCGAATTTCTCCCCTTACTTCGGGAATTGGCCATTAGTGATTGTGTCATTGGCGAGAGAAAATGTGTAGTTCGCGAGAGAAACTGCCATAGTTTGTGAAGAAAATGAGACTCCCAATGATCGTAACGACCGGGGTACATCTTTTATATTGCATCTGATCGCTCAATCAAAGTCTTCAACAGGTATAAGAACCGCCGCAGTGTGGTACAATACTCATATCTCCCTACACACACGCCAGTCCGTGGTCAAAAACAGATGCCTCATCCGACAATCGTTTTATTAACCGAAGACGCGGCGGAGGTGCCAGACCGGAGACGGACATTCGTCAGGCAGCAGGTACGTCGAGACAATGAAAGACGCGAGTGTTCTGCTCGATCTCCTATCCGCCGAGGGGTCCCACAATATAGAGCCCACCAAAGCCGCTGCCGGTCGTCAAGCCTTCTATCCTGATGCCAGTATCCTTTGAAACCGTTGCTCCTGTACCGATACATTTTCCAGTACCTACCCACCCTAACACTGATCGCTGGTGTAAAACAAATGAAACTGGCGAGCTTATGTGTGCCACATCGACAGTACCTCTTGTGACATCCACTCTCACCACATCCCTCTCCACTCGAACTGTCTTTGCCACTCCTGTATCTCGCCTGCTCCCCAGATTTCGCATACGGACGCATCAGGCGCCAACTCTCCTGAATTAGAAGATTGTAGTTACGATTGATCGATGGGACTCCACTTCTCAGTATCCAGAAGGACACTTCGTGAGGGCCCTAGGTCAAGTAGAGAGTAAAGAGGCTGAGCAGGAAAGTCTGCTTTTGGAGTTTGAGGTGCCATATAGACCGTTTGGGATAGCGATCTTGGATTGCTTGCCACCGGAAGGAGAGCAGTGGGTTGTTCCTCCTAAAGGAGACTTCGACCTCCAGAACATTTGGAGAGATCACGATGGTTTAAGAGACGTGATCGTTTGCAGCGTTGATCCGTCTACTTCCCCTCCTCCAATCACTCAAAGTAGAAATGTCCATTCTGACTCGGCGCCAGAGTCGGAGTCTTTACAGTCTCCCTCATCAACCCCTGTAACCTCAGCAGCCTCTGTAATACCCACTAAATATCCATTCAACCTCATCATAACAACTGCCACCATCCCACTGTCATGCCCTGTCCCTAAAAAGCTCCCCTTGTTACCTCCTAGACATCCCAGAACCGCGTACCAGCTCCTTCCCACCTCCCAAATAACCTCCCATCCCATGACGGAACCCTAGCCAACCTTCCGACCAATGCTAACCTCCATCTGAAGCGACAGCTCCGCGACTCGTGTATGCCGCCGGACAATCCCTTATCAATTTAGCCTCATGGGTTCCGCACTTCACACCATCCCCATTGAATGCTCGTTTACTATAATGGTTCCTTGTCAACTCCTTTCGCCTATATAAGCACCATCGTAGCATAAACGTCCCTAGCTTGGTATATTTTGAACACACACCCTTTTGCATAGGTCCAGTCCCTGTCCCTTTGTACCTGCTAACCATACGGATTTCTCTTTACTCTCTGTTTCATTACCTCTGTTTCTCTCAACTCTTGTCTATCGTCTCTGTGATCGTCTATACGACCCAATACACGCTTTTACTTTACGTCTAAGCAATCCGAGTGAGTTCCCGAGCTCCCTCGAACAATACTAAAGCTCCCCAACGCCTACCGCCTTGGTGAGCTAACCTCCCCAAACCTCCTTGAGCTCCCTAGCTATTCTATAGGCTTCAGGACCTCAATCTAGGTAACGTCGAAGCTACCCCTCACGTCGGACTACGTACTGCTTCTCTGTTACCACCTCCCACACTCGAGGACGTCCATCCTCAAGCCTAGCCCCCAGGGACCTACCCTCCCTGGCACATCCCTTCTCGGGAGCTTACCACCTCGAGACCCATCTATACATATGACCTACTTGATCCTATATTGACGTTCTAGCGAGTACAACTCCTACTACGCAATATAGTACGGTCCCGCACTCTTCCTTAACCTCCCTGTGCCTTAGGGACCTCCCTGGACCTCCTAGGAATCCCTCAAGGGTCACCATCCTGTCGTTCAAGCCACTACTAGGTCATTCCCATCCTCGGTCGCGGTTCCCGTAGCCCCCTTCGAGCTCCAGCCTGCTCCTAGCACGCTACAACATAAACCTCCACATACCAAAACCTACCCTAAGACCTATTTTGACCCAGGTCTTACACCCACCTGCACTCCTGCTATATTTTCAACAATACCGCCGCTCCCGTCGCAGCCCTTGTCCCAACGCGGGGATACTCCGCTCGTCCGGTCTCCATCACCTCCCAGCTTTGTTATCGAACAAGTAGATTGGAGTGGAGGGAATAAAGTTGCAGATATTGAGAGCGGTTAAGGGCTGGATGGAAGATGAGCGTAGATGGATGGGGAATATGGGTAAAGGGCCAACCAAGCTGAGCAAAATCATCGTGTTCTGCAATCAATCCGAAGAAGGAAAATCCAATAAGGCTGATAAAAAAGGTTCTGAACAAAGGCACGGATTGACTAAGCATCTAGAAGGATTTTTGAGAGGGAGGTCAAAGTCAAGGTATTCAACCGACAGCAGTTCTACCGCCGAAGGACAGTCCTCGACGTCCACTTTACGACGTCTGCAGCATCTCGTCATCTCTCCGTTAGCATTACCTTCATCTCAGCAGTGACTTTTCACTAGGGCTCAGCATCCAGCTCAGGAGTCAGAGTCTCATTCTGACTGTAAAGTTACTCAAATGCCTAATTCCAGTTGGTTGATCGACATATCAAGGCTTTCTTTTCTGCACATGTGTTGAAGGAGATTGCACTTGTTGAAGTTGAAACACACTGGAGCGCCCTTCAGCTAACCCAAGCAGTATGCCACCCAGCTCAGTACACAGATTGTCTATGCCTTAATACAAGACTAGTAGGTTGGACTACAAGCCTTATAGTTGCTCAGTACTCCAATAAACACAGTAACAATGACCAGAGTCAATATAGTATGAGTATTGATTTGTATCTTTCAACTATAGTAGGAATACAGGTTTGTTTGGTCTTGTATATACTAGAAACGCATGAGGCGTGATAATGGGTGTCCACAATTGTGCGCACCTATGAAAACTAACTAACTACAGTAACACTAAAGAAATAGCTAAGTTATGAGTTGTAAAACTAAGTAATGATGTCTGTAAGTACTTTGTACACTAAGTAAGTAACTACAGTGATAACTAGGAGTGATGAAGCGCTGTGTAATGTATGTAGAAAGTGTTCTATCACTACAGTATGCTCAACAACATGCGCGTTATGGACGAAGTTTGGATGATATCGCTGCAGTCATTAGAGGCGTAATCACTGAAGTCATGAGCAGAGATGACACTGAGGATAAGAAGGCAAACAAGTACCGAATCACTAAGGTTCCCTGGCGCTCGCGTGAACTAGCGCAATTTTATGTGAGACCTAAGCATGTACATAGACTATTGACCGACACAAGATAGTCAATAAGACATATCGTATCGCACTAGCGGACCCCTGTGGGGCATGATGAACCTTGCTTGACTTATGTTTTTTTGAGTGAAAAGAATTACATAAGTTCCAAGTAAGAAGAGTATAAGTTAACAAGTACGACAAGTAAAAGAATCAAAAAATAGTGCCACATATTATTAAATAGGGAAGAAGTGAAGGAGGTGGACATGCAGGTGCAGAAGGTGAACACACTTGAAGTGAACATGTAAAAAAAAAAAAGAAAAAAAAGGCGCTTAACATGTGAAAAAAATGCACGGGCGCTTGGCAAAGACGGGGTGGCAAAGGACCTAGCAAGCAAGGTGATACTTACAGCAAATTGCAAAACTGGAGGCGGGTCGGAAAAAAAGCTGAACTGATGGCCAGCTGATGGCTGACAGCGGCAGACCTGCCAGCTCCAAGTTCTGCCCGCCTTGATCATCGTACTTACAAGCAATGGAGGAGGGATGACTGGAAGAGTGGGGCACATTGCGTAGATTGTGTACCTATGACGATTGATACAAATTTAACATAAGGTAGCAATTTATCTATAGAATGAATGGAAGGCAGAGAGACTGACTGCTATCTCAACTCTGTTCATAGAGCCAGGATTCTTCGGACCACATTATGCATGCGCTGAATTGTTCGTATTCCCATTCCTGCTTGTCTAGCGAGATCTTACTGGCTGATACCATGGCAGCAAATGCTGACAACAAGGCCTTCTCGGGATGGACGTACCAATACTTATTTGAGCACATTGTGGAGTCTTTTCACAGTCGAAACATTGTGTATTACTAGTAGTGTGTATTGTACAGCTCGCGGTGGCAATGACCTTGCCGCATCCCCGGCTAAGGTTAGCCATCAGTTTTGCGAATATTTGGACCCGCCTCCAGTTTTGCAATTTGCTGTAGCATCGACTACTCATTTCTTTAACCTTTGTTGAGCATACTGTAGTGATAGAACACTTTCTACATACATTACACAGTGCCTCATCACTCCTAGTTATCACTGTAGTGACTTACTTAGTGTATAAAGTACTTACAGACATCATTACTTAGTTTTACAACTCATAACTTAGCTATTTCTTTAGTGTTACTGTAGTTAGTTAGTTTTCATAGGTGCGCACAATTGTGGACACCCATTATCACGCCTCATGCGTTTCTAGTACATACAAGACCAAACAAACCTGTATTCCTACTATAGTTGAAAGATACAAATCAATCCTCACTCTATATTGACTTTTGTCATATCTACAGTGTTCATTGGAGTACTGAGCAACTATAAGGCTTGTAGTCCAACCTACTAGTCTTGTATTAAGGCATAGACAATCTGTGTACTGAGCTGGGTGGCATACTGCTTGGGTTAGCTGAAGGGCGCTCCAGTGTGTTTCAACTTCAACAAGTGCAATCTCCTTCAACAGGAACTGGACGTCACAGTGTAGCAGTGCCTTCGAGCTTCTGAAGACAGCCTTCTCCGAAGCCCCAGTCTTGGGACATTACCATCCGGACCTCCCGGTAGTCCTCGAATGTGATGCTTCCAACTTGGCTATAGCAGGGATCCTATCACAACTGGATCCTGAGACAGGGGAGATACTGTTAAAGTCATGAATCCTAACAGATACACCCCATTGCCTTCCATGCGCGATCAATGATCTCGGCGGAGCTGAACTACGACATCTACGATAAGGAGCTCCTAGCTATCGTGGATTGCTTCAAACAATGGAGGGTGTACTGTGAAGGATCCCGACACCAGATCCAAGTATACTCGGACCATAACAACCTCCAGTACTTCTGAGAACCACTACGAAGCAACTGACAGCTCGACAAGCCCGGTGGGCAGAACTCCTTTCAGGTTACGATTTTGTCATCAACTATCGACCAGGAAGGTTGGGGGCCAAACTGGACGCGCTCACACGAAGATCAGACATGTACCCAAAGAAGGGAGCTCCACGGGATCAGGTCTTAGCGGGAAGGGAAAGAGTACTCATACCTCCAGAACGTCTCAACGCAACGATCCTCATGAATGAGGACTTGCTAGTAAATCGAGTAAGGGAAGCTCCAAAGGACACGACTATGATCGAAGCCCTGAAGAGGATTGCATGCAACGAGGAGGAATCTCTCGTCTGGGAGGATGGGATGATAAAGAGGGGAGGTCGTATATATGTCCCAGACGTTGGAACCTTACGAAGGGAGGTCCTACAGTCGTACCACGACCATAAGTTGAGGGGACACCCGGGGGAGAAACGCACCAAGAAGCTAGTAAACCAGCTATTCTTCTGGAAAGGGCTGTCCAAAGACGTGAACTACTATGTACGGAGCTGCCACCCGTGTCTGAGAGCCAAAGCCAGCCGCTCCAAACCTTACGGGAACCTCCGTTAATGGCCTTGGTCTTCAATCTCCCTAGACCACATCACCCAGCTTCCAGTCACGGCAGGTCCAGAGAAATACGACGCCATTCTCATAGTAGTCTGCCGACTCACCAAACAGGCCATATACATTCCTTGTCATATGACGGACAATGCGGAGGACTTTGCCAACCTATTCATAACACACGTCTTCTCAAAACATGGGATGCCCTCCGACATAACTTCAGACCGGGGCTCCCTATTCGTGTCTCAATTCTGGAGAGAGCTTTGTAGAGTATTAGGAATCGAATCCCGCCTATCTACGGCGTACCACCCCCAGACAGATGGACAGACGGAACGGGTAAACCAATCTGTGGAGGCATACCTTCGAATCTACTGCTCCTACGACCAGGACGA